ACCGCCTGCTCAACCTGTTCATCTACTACTCTTTCACCCGCATCAGGGGGTTTGTCTTTCTAACTGCCCTCGTTCAGCAGTGTGTGTGCCTCTTGCCTCTGGCTCTCTGCAGTCGTATATTGAAATAAGCATGTTTTGTTTGGTAATCCCATGCTTGACATTATTATTTTTGTTTATGCCCACTATAAGTGTTTTGGGAATGTTTTAGATGCCCTCTTGAGCTGTGCGTATGCTTGTATGTTAAATGCCAGATGTCTTTCTGAGGGACAAACCTGGCCAACAGCCTTTATCCTTCCATCCTCCGGAATGGGTTGGTAACTGTTTGACAGTGTTTTTTTTTTTTTTGTGAGCCGGGTGCTAAGAGCAGGCTGTGTAGCCCGCAAGACATCTACCTCTATCTCTCTATTTATCTGTATCGCACCGCACCAGTATCATCTACACACATGCAGAAGCATAATTATGCTATGTACAACGGCCTTTGATAGCATGTACAGTTTTCTTCTTAATTCTTTATCAAATGCATTGATCGTGGTGTATGTGCATTGATCCAGGAACCACATCTGCAACCCAGCGATAAGGCCACGGTGGCATCTCTCTCTCTCGCTCGCTCTCTCTTGCTCTCGTTTGGCTCGGGGCTAAAGCAGGCTGCTGTAGGATTAGCTGGTGCTCAACTACTTGCATTTTAAGTTGACACCTCAACACCAAGCAGAGGCCACATTACAGAGGAAAAGCTGCCCCGTCCGTCCACCCAACACTTCCTCTTCTGTACGCTCACACTCTCTCTTTCTCCCTCTCTTTCTCTGTTGACTACATTTAATTGGATTTGTGAACAGGAGCAGCCGAATGCTTCCTTTAGAATGGCCGGGGGGACACAAGGTGAAGTTTTCTCATTACAGACCACGAAGCCAGGGGACAGATCATAGACGATCTGTATTTTCCTTTTAAAGAAGACAGAAATAGGAGAGAAGGAAGAATAAAAGAGATGAGGGTTTGATAGACAGTGCAGAGAGAGGAAGGTGAAGAGGACAAGGAAGTCTCTTTATTTCACAGGTCACTTTCTAAAGGACGGAGAGAGAGGGTTGATGAGCCCGAGACGTGGCAATGTTTTCATTTTCTTGAATGTGTCTCAAACATTGCATTCATATTTGATTGCTTTTGCGAATGCACTGAATATTTGGGTTTGGTTATTTGTCTACCGTTTTGTATAAGTTCATAGGCAAGTAGGGTTGGGAATCAAAAACCGGTTCTTAATTATAACTGGTGACGTTGTCACAGCCTTGTTGATTTTCATGCCATTGTCTTATTTTCTGTCAGCAATTAACTTTTAAGTGAATCATTCCAGTTTGAAAAGTCTGCAAACGTACCTGTAAACATTTAATTTCTTACATTACAATATAATTTATGTATATATTGTATTATATATATTGTATTGTATTACTTAAAAAAACATTTTAATATAAATATAAAGCAATTAAATAAATATAAAGCAAATAAATAGAATAAAAAATTATACATAAATGTAAGAGAAGCTAATTATTATTTTTAATAGCCAATAGATAAATGGCTGATATAACTAAAAAAATACTGTGTTGTCTAAATAAATTTGAAATAAATCAAGGTTGAAAAAAAACAGGTTGCTTAGGGCAAGAAAGTATTGTTTTCCGATCGTATTCCATTCATTTTTCCTCAGAATTAGGAAAAGAATCATTAATGAAATCATGAATGGAATCAGAACCAGAATTGATAAATTACTAATGATTCCCATCTGTTCACATGTATGTGTGTGTGGCTTTTGGATTGGCTAAAGATCCAGACCCTCTGTTCTTCAGCACTGCTTGCCTGTGCTGTGTGTGTGTGTCTGTGTGCGCGTGGCCCTCCCCTTCTCTGCACACTCAGTGTGTCATGACAAATATATCTGTTTGTGCTTCACTGGCTGGCACCGTCTCTGGCTGGCTGGCACGGCTGTGTTAGCGCCAGGGCCCTGAGCCTGTGTGTGTGCCCAGCCGAGCGACTCCTTCCATGGCTCGCTGCACCCTTGGAGCCCCCACCCACCCTCCAGCCCCCTCCAAAAGAGCAGCCAGACTGGGGCAGCCACCCAGACCCCATGCCCACTGTGAGTGCTTCTGTCTGGGCCTCAGCTCTGCCGCCCACCCCCTCTCTCCCTGGATCTCCTGTCCAGAATGAGGGTGACAGCCCTCCATTATCTGCTTTTGCGCATCTCTCCCTCCCTTTTTACTTTCCAGAAGATAGATTGAAGTCTTCCCACACACCATGTTTTCTTCTCCTCCTTTAATTATGACTTTGTCATCGTTTCTGCCACCCCTGATATTTTTCTTTCTTTTTCTTCACTCGTTCTTGTGGATCCCCTCATTATCCTTGGTGATCTGCAGCTGGGAGGTTGGATGGGCCACTGATCTCTCTCCCCTCTCTTCCTCTTCCTTTTTCTCCCTCTTTCTCTCACTCCAAGCATAGCCCAGTTGGATAGTCCCAGACTGAACGGTCAAGCTTCAGTGTAGCTGAAGAAGAGCCACTTAAAGTCCATTTGAAGAGAGAGTCATTAAAGAAATCTCTTCATAAGAGGACAGACAGTTTTACACCTCATTGCTGCTGTAGAAATGGATCGTTCCACGGTGGTTATTCTGCACAGTGTGCAAGGCTAATTCATTTGGGGAGTACATTTGTATCTCTCAGTGATTGTTTTCATCCATGCATTTTGACATCACACTTCAGGGCTGTACGTTAACTTTTTTTTCACATAGCACTGGTGCTACAGAGGTTGAAAGTTTTGTAGCACAGGCCAAAAAGCTGTAGCACAAGTATAAAACGTCTGTTATCATGTTCATAACTGTCCCTTTCAGTGCCTCAGATTTTCAATGCTTTATTGGCATGATTTTTTTAAGCATTTGTACAAATCACAATAAATAATGACAGAAAAAAAAAACATTACATTAAGGTGAAATTCTTTAACAATAGTTAATTTTTAATGTTATATGGTAATAATCGGTTAGATTGCTTTTCATTTCTTTAACAGTAGTTAAGTTTTTACAATTTTGTTATAAATTAATATATTTTTACAGCATTTATTAGTCTATTAGTTTAATGTTTATACATTTAAAATAAAAAATATATAGGTAATACATGTAGAAATGAACAATAATCTATTTTCGTAAATCTTATAAAACTATTGCTTATTGTTGTTTTGTTATAGCATTAATTAATATATGTCTAGAACCTTATTGCCCCCCCACCCCCCAAAAAAACCTCTCTTTTTTTAGTCCAATGCAATTAAATTAGTTTTTATGTGTGTGTGGAAAAGGAAAAAGTTTGAGTTCTTTAATCAAGGTTCCCATGGTCATGATAAATCTGGAAATATGATGAAAGTGCAGGCCTGAAAATGTAATACATTGAAATGTCTTTTTTTTTTATTTTATTTTAAAGTAAATATTTCTGGTTAAGAAAAAACTTACAGAACTGCATTTATATGTCTGGGCTTTTTTCACCATCAGTGTTATCATCCATTTAGTGTGAATCAGCATTTATTCCAGGTATACCATGCATTTCCAACTTCTTAAAGCGTCTGTCTGCCTCTTTACAGATTTGCCCAATTTAAGCTTCTGTTAAATGTTCCAGCACAGTCTGTGTGGATTGACGCATCTTTCCTTTCCTCTGTCTGCTGCTGTTCTTCATCTCTTGTTAATTTTCATTGACTACAGTATTACAGAACATTTCCAGAGTTGCCTGAAAGCAGTTTACACTGGGCCTGGTGGTAATCCTGCCCTTCAGGCGCACACACAAGGAATCTCATTTTCTGTGCTAATGGCTAGCCTAACCCTGAATCGCTATATGTAAAACAGTGTGTCGAAGGTTGTGTGTGATGATACCTGCAAGGTTAAGCGGATCATTTGGCGTTTTAGACTTCAACTGCAGAAAAAATGACAATTATATTATGTTAAATTGTATGAGGAGCACAGGGCAAAAGCCTCACAGCTCAAACGAAACATACATTATTATACATTAGAGGTAGATTTTGTCACGCTCACAGAAACACGTGATTCTGTTTGTTTTTGTTGATTTCTTAATTTATTCGCATCCATATCATTGGCTGTTCCATCCTCCAATTAGAGCAGATGTATTAATTTTGCGAGAACATAGTGGACACACACAATTCTGTTTTGGCAGGAGCACTCCTGTGTTTTCAGGTGTAACCTGGCCTTAGCTTTGTCTTGCATGTTCAAATTACCCTGAGACTCAAGGGCCTCTTGGCTGGACCCCTAAAAAGTGCTCCTGGGATTCCCTCATCTGCATCTCTCTGCTCATTGTCCTTCTCAACAATGGCTTCAGACAAGCATTGTCCACAGAAACAGGTGAAATGGGGTTAATTAACTTAACGCTTTTGTAACCAGTTGGGATAATTCACTCTCTGCTCTTTTGCTTTAGAAACCTGTTACCATCTCGAAAGTATGTGCATGTATGTGTGTACATGTGGCTGTCTGTGGGGCCAGGCTACCCATCATGCTAAGCAGACCTGTCTAAATGTTAATGTGTGCTAGTGGTACTACAACTTTGTGAATATTACATAAAATTGTTAGGCTATAATAACCATCCATTTCCCAGTCATTGTCCGCTTCTCTCTTTTCTACATATGTCTATTCATGTCCAAGTAGTTGATGCATACATTTCTGTCTCTACCTCTGGTTGATTCACACAAAACACTCATAAACATGTAGTCAGGCCAAAAAAAAAGACATTCCAGCGAATATCTCAGGTTTATTATGTCTGGACCTATACAGAATCAATGACAAATAAACCATGCAGTGAATGTCTCTTGCTCTCTCCATCTGTGCCAGAGACCCTCCATCCTGACTAGTAAAAAAAAAAGCTGCTATCAGTCTGATCTGATGGGAGAGAGAGGAGTGAAAATGGCATTTCTGTCAATTACTTGAGATGGCACCCGTTCAATAACCCCCCTCTCCCTCTGCTTCTGTCTGTGTGTGTGTCAGGAGCGTGATGAAGAACGGCGCAGGCAGCTGCGAGAGAGAGCCAGGCAGCTGATAGCGGAGGCTCGATCTGGAGTAAAGATGTCTGAACTGCCTCTCTATACTGACTCCACCTCTATTGCCTGTAGTGCAGCTGGGAACAACTTAAAAGGAAGGTCAAAGACAGCTGGAGGTGAGTGCAGGGGGGCTTTTATAGGCCGAACAAGCACATACACTCACAATGCATAAATGCACGGAAGCATGCATGCATGCACATTTTCTCATAAGCATGCAAACGCACACGCAAATCTACATGCGTTCATTTTGAAATACCACAGACATAAGCTCTGTATCAAAACCTAGTGAGATGCCTACATAGACGTGCTCCCAAGGGTATATACCTTGTTTTGGTGGAAGTCTAAATGCAGCTTCACATCCTTCATAAATAAGGTAACCCCATTATGCATTGCATCATGGTTGTTGGAAAAAAATAACATCCAAGATGGGATGAAGCAAGAGAAATATTGATTAACATTCATTTAGGGCCTAAAAGCATGGCCTGTTTCACCCAATATGCACAATTTTCTGTGTGTTTGTGTGTGTTGTGTACATTTTGAGGCTTAAAAGGATAGTTCACCCAAAAATGAAAACCTGTGTGACTTTATTTCTTTCGCATAACACAAAAGAAGATATTTTGAAAAATGTTTAAACTGTTGCCTGTACAATGAAAGTAAATGGGGTCCAAAACAGCACCCCATTTGGACCACATTTACTTTCATTATACTGACAAAAAAACATGGAGACATTCTTCAAAATGTCTTCCTTTGTGTTTGTTCCACAGAAGAAATAAAAAGTCATACAACTTTGAAACAGCATTTTCAGTATTACATTTTCTGTTTTTATTTGACTTTTAATTTTTATTAGTTTACATTTTTATGTTTTTTTGTGTGTATATATATGTATGTATATATATATATATGTATGTATGTATGTATGTATATATATAT